GTTTGAGGAGATAATAGAGTGGAAAAACTTGCAGCTGACGATGAGACAAGAAGGTTGCTTACTGGTTGCCATCATGGAGAAAAAAGACTTGACTTGGAAAAGATGATTTTTTTTTTTTTCCAGTTAGAATAGATTTAGATAGAGAGAAACAAAGACAAAAAATATAAATGACATCTTCCCCTACATCCCTGTTTTTCCCCGCTTCAAATTCACCCTTCATTCCTGACTCCTCTATGTTCTCCCCCTGTGAAGGAGTGCAGAGATATGGGGTAAGGGAATTGCAGTCAGTCCATAAAACTGTGTTGTTCCTTCCTCTCCATGCGTTGCCCCTGCTCCAGCGTGGGCTCAATCCTATCGGCTGCAGTTCCTTCGGAAATAACCATCTGCTCCAGCATGGGATCCTCCCCTGGCTGCAGTTTTGGATGTCTGCTCTGCCATGGAGGACCTCTTCTCCCTCCTTCTTCTCTGACCTTGGTGTTTACACTGCTGTTTTGCACTCTCTCTCCTCTTCCTCTGCCTGCTTTTCCTAAATACACTTTCCCAGAGGTGCCACTGTCTTGGCTGCTGACTTTAGCTGTACTCTGTGGTGGGTCCCATGGACTCAGCTGCATGTGACATGGGGCAGCCCTGGCCTGCTAAACAGAGGCCACTCTTGCAGCCACCTAGAGATGCCTGTTGTTAGCACTTTAGTCACTCTAAGTAACTTGGGAATTAACTTTTTGTTTAATAAATAGTGTTCTTGTTGCTGTAAGTCTAAGTCTGGCATGTTCTTATTCCTCTTTGGTACTGCTGCGTATTGTGTCTTCAGCTGCAATGCTAGGGCAAGCAAGCAAGCAAGCAAGCATCTCCAACTAGGTACAGAACAAAATAGACTTATTTTTTTACCTTTATAGCAGGCTGATATTTAAGGGCTAGTTGCAGCTGCAATAAAGCCTTCAAAAAGAAAGGAGGAGTTGAGTGGTGGTATTTTCAGTTGAAAATTGACAACTAGGAAAATGTTGAAGTGAATAATGTTATTAATGTATGGTAAAGTGTCTGCTTCCTGAAAGGTATCTAGTCCAGGACCTTTTTCAGTGTGAAAACAGGGTAATGAGAAGAGGAGGAAGCCATAAACAAAACATACAGAGACACAAACTTAAAGGAGGAACAATAAGGAAGTGATGAGAACCAATCTGGCCACTGATTGGTGAGGGTGTGTGACAGTGTGGGAATGTTCACTCCAGCAAGTTTGTCTGAGTGGGGACCTGCTCCTGTAAAAGTAAGGGGAAAAGGTGGAAATTGTAACAAAAAAAAATAAAATAAACAACAAACACAGACCTAAGAAAACAAGTAGAGAAAATTAAAAGAAACAAATCTGCCAGACACACTATTTGATGGGTTATCAAGAAACCACAGGCACTACTTCCGGGAAGATCAGCCTGGCCTTTCTGTCTGAAGAAGCTGTGAACCTGGGTGGGGAGGGGGGGATCCCACACACAGGACTGGGAAGGGTGTGGCAGGAGAAGGGGAGCAGAGGTGCCCAATCTGGGTGTAAGCAGGAAGGAGTATAAGAGGGGCTGGTTGTGTAAAAGTGGACTGGTCAGTACGATTGTCTGGCTGAGCCTTCTTCCTGACTGCCACAGTCTGTTCTATCTTCTTACATCTTCTTAAATATTCTCTTTATTTTCTCTGTGCATAATCTCCCTCTCTACCCTGTGTACGTGCATGCTGCAAGGATGAAGTGCCAGCTACTGATGGGACCTGCAGGTGTCAGTGGGGTATCAGCTACTGGAGTGAGGCGGGGAGTGTCTCAGTGGTAGCTGCTGCACGGGTAGGGAACTCGGATTTCAGCCTCTGGGGTGGGAGTGGTCAGTGTCCAGAAAAATCAAATACTCTGGGGAAACTGTGGGAGTGAGGTGAGTGAGGTGTGGAGTGGCAGCAGCTGGAGTAGGGCTGTGGGTTGCAGCCCATGTGCCTGGTGCCAGCTGTTGTGGGAGGGTGGAGGGGGCTGAAGTGCTAGGATCTGAACCATAGGCCCTAAACTGAAATTGACCTATAGATGAACCTCACAACCCCACACTATATAGTATAAGTTGCACATATTATTAATAGTAGTATTAGTAATGTATTAATAATCTATTTTAGCGTGTATATATATATATTCTGATGCCAATCTGTAAAAGCTTTGCTGTAACGCTTAATGTGTAGTAGTAATTGGCAAACAATCTTTTTCTAACTAGAGGTCAGGTGCGAGGCTGTGAAACTGGCCATCTCTTTCTTTATTCAGGGGCATGTTACTAAACTCTAAGATGGGAGGCCTGGCCTTAGTGAGAAATATGTGATTAAGGACCAAAACCTTGTGTTCCTCCTTTAGCCCTGGCCAGGCTGTGGGAAGATTCCAACAGAGAGGACAACCCTAGATGTTCCCACATGTTCCTTACATTCTGTAAGTTTGCTTATTTAATAGTCTAAAAGCTGGACCCTCTTACAGGAACTTTGGAGGCATCACCTGTGAGCGGGCACACTGCGTAGGACTTTCTGTGGATCTAGATGATGGTAAAGTATTAGGGCAATTGGTGATGCATCTCTCTTAATCACTATCGCTAACCATATGTAGTAAAGATTAGGTGCTTTACCCTGCTTATTCTCCTTGCTGCTTAAAGCTAGAGTATAATAAGCTTATTATTTTAACTAAGTGCATTGCCTTATTCTTGTAATACCTTGAAATAGGCAGTAAAATAAGCTGACTCTTCTGTTGGTGTCTTGTCCTTTCTGCAGACCATCCATCAGTCCCCCTTGTCAATTAGCAAAACATGGACTTGGGAAGGGAGAAGTGTCTTTATCTTCCCCAAACCTGTCGTGCACGTGTACACACTACCAAACTGTGGCAGGGACCTACCAGTGTGGTAGGCATGATGGCCTGGGATCTGGGCAGGGGTGTTGGGGCAACAGAGGAAGCCGAGCTGGTGCTTGAGGGACCCATGAATAGGCCTGTACTTGTCAACCTGGAGAGTGTCAAGTGTATGCCTGCACTAGTGACCTTCTGCCTCCTGCCCCTACCAGCAGGAGACGAGAAGGGAACTTGGCTCTGTGCTCCTGTATGTAGGTGATGTTGAAGGCAGAACTTTGTCTGTGGCAGCCTGTGTGACCAGCTGTGTTTGCGTCCTGCGCTTGTCTCTGTGTGTCTCCCTGGGACATGTGCTGAGCTTTGCTGCTGGTCAAACATGCCAAAGGGAAAGCAGCAGTCATGCCCCTCGGCCCAGGCATAGACCCTGGGGCTGAGCTCCAATGGCCTGGCAGGAGGCAGTCTTCGGCCCAAGTGGCTGGGAGAGACAGCTACTTTTGACATCCCTTAACAGTTTATACTTAACATATTTTAGGTAAAGGTTCCTTAAGTATTCCTGTTTCTGCCCATGGTATTGTGCGCTTCTGAATTTTGCTGGTGGTACTCAGGAGTTGAATGTGAAACGTCTTTGCAAAATGATTTAAGTTTAATGCAGTGGATAGTCTTAAACTTCCAAGAAAGAAAATTCTGCTGTTCTTGATCTTAAAAATAAATAAGTAAAATAAACTATCACACAGTGCTACTTACACTTAAATTTCCGGGATTCTGTGTTGGTGTGCCAATATCTGAGCTACAGCATGAGGGAGACATGAAATATAGACCAGTTGTCCATATTCTATTTCAGACTGAGAAAATTAATAGGATCATGGTGACTTTTAAAATCTACATAAATTGTTTGCTGTGGTTTTAAGTGAAAACATATAGCCATGTTTAACTTATGTCCAGAAAAAAACCGCGTTGACGTCTGGACAGACTGGATTGATGGGCCCAGGCCAACTGCATGCATTTCAACAAAGCCAAGTGTAGGGTCCTGCATTTTGGTCACGGCAACCCCGTGCAGCGCTACAGGCTTGGGGAAGGGTGGCTGGAAGGCTGTATGGCGGAAAAGGACCTGGGTGTTCTAATTGAGAGTCAGCTGAATATGAGCCAGCGTGTGCCGAGGTGGCCAAGAAGGCCAACGGCATCCTGGCTTGTATTAGAAATTTTGTGACCAGCAGAAGAAGGGAGATGATTGTCCCTCTGTGCTCAGCACTGGTGAGGCCGCACCTGGAGTATTGTGTTCAGCTTTGGTCACCTCAGTACAAGAGAGATATCGAGGTGTTGGAGCGAGTGCAGAGGAGGGCAACAAAGCTGGTGAAGGGCCTGGAGAACAGACCTTATGAGGAGCGATTGAGGGAGCTGGGTCTGTTCAGTTTGACAAAGAGGAGGCTGAGGGGGGATCTCATCATGTTCTACAATTACTTGAAAGGACATTGTAGAGAGGTTGGTGCTGGTCTCTTCTCACAGGTAATTAGGCACAGAACCAGGGGGAATGGTTGCAAGTTGCAACAGGGCAAGTTTAGGCTGGACATTAGGAAGCAATTCTTCACGGAAAGAGTCGTCAAACACTGAAGAGTGGTCAGACACTGGAATAGACTGCCCAGGGAGGTGGTTGAGTCGCCACCCCTGGATGTGTTTAAGTGTGGCTTAGATGGGATGCTGGGTGATATGGTTTAGGGGTGAACTTGTAGTGTAGGGTTGATGGTTGGACTCGATGATCCCAAGGGTCTTTTCCAACCTGAATTGTTCTATGATTCTTCTGTGTTCTGTTATTAGAGTTTGCAGATGTTCTTTACTGAACATGTAAAGATGCCTTCATTCTTGTAACATAGCCATTTACGTAGGATATCCTCACCCTCCCTGTTTTCCCAACAGTTAATTCACTTAGTTTATTGTAATTTAATTTGGTGAAAGAACATGATGATCCATTTTTGTTCTTGACTTTAAAAGTTGGTTTTACTTTGATGTGAAAACCTTTTGCTGTCCAGACCACCAGGAAGATCTCGTGGTCCACCTGGTGGTCTGTTGTTCTGTGCTAATTGATCAGGAATTCCACTGTTGCAATGCATTTCTGTTGTTAGATTGATTTAAATTGATAGATTTGTCTAATCTTTCTCCTCTTTCTTTCCTGGCAGCCGATTTATTTTGCACATTCCAAGTGAAGAGAGAGACAATGCAATCAGACTGTGTTTTCAGATCGAACTTGCCCATTGGTTTTACTTGGATTTCTACATGCAAAACACACCAGGATTACCTCAGTGTGGGATAAGAGACTTTGCTAAAGCTGATATCCTTTTTGTTACTGTGATTGTTTCCTGTCTCAGTGGATAAAGTGCAAACTTAATATTACTAATGAAATTCATACTTGCAGCAGGAAAGTGTCAGTTCATGTGTTAGTGGTTAAAAGTTAGTATTGCCAGGTATAAGATGTTTTTATCTGTTCATTGCTTCCATAGTTTGGTGGCATCCACTAAAGAGATACTTCTCAGACTGCTAAACAGCTATGGAAAACAGATAATTTCTGATCTTTGCGGATTCTGACAAGCTAGGTGGGTTTCAAATGTGAGTTGTTGGAGCTCTTCCTGGTGTTTTGTCCCCTTAATTTAATCCCTTTCCAAGTAAGTAGTGACATAAATGTAAATATAACTGAGGGTGGTATGTGTTCACGCATGGTCAGCAGTATGTATTTATTTGAATTACTGACTTGCTTCTGGAAAGAGTTTTGTTCATAAGGAATTGGATGCACTTTTACTGAATTCACACAACTGGCCTCTGGGTTTTTTTATTGCTTAGAGGGCTACTGGAACATACACTGTCTAGTCCTTGCTGGAGAAAACTCATGGCTTTAATCAGCAAATGTTTTAATTTTAACTTCTTCCCATTGATTCTTGCTGTGGAAATGGAGTATTGCTTCTAATTTTCATGCTAATATTATCCGTGTTTTCACTACCCAAAGTACCTATTGTCATCCCTGTTTTCCCTGCAAGAACATACTTCTCTGTTAGTTTGATAACAGAGATTTACTTAGAAACACTACAGCTTTTATTTTAACGATAAATTGTAAAAATATGATAATTTTATGTTGCTTGACTTTATGCAGTTATTTTTTATTTATTTTATGTATAGTTTTAATTATAAATGTATTTTCAGGCCAACAGACCTCTTCTTATAATTGCAGGCAGTGGAGTTAAAATACAATGCAATAGATGTTACTTGTTCGTTATGTCTGTCCATCTGCAGCTCACACTTGCCAGTTCTGCTGCAATGTCGTTTTTTTATGTAGTATGCAATGGCATGTTTTTTAGTGGTAGTATAGTTTTATATGTAATACATTATTAATACTTGTTGTGGTTTGACCCTGACTGGCAGCCAGGTGCCCACACAGCCGCCCTATCACCTCCCTTCTTTGCTAGACAAGATGACAAAAATATATCAAAGGGCCCATTGTTTGGGATGACAGGAAAAATCACCTGCATCTACTATTCTGGGCAAAACAGACTTGATTTTGGGGAAATTAATTGAATTTATTAAAGGAATAAATTGGAGAAGAGTGGAGAGAAATAAGAAAAAGACAGATCATAAAAGAAAAACACCTTTCTCCCATCTCTCCCTTCTTCCTGGGCTCAACATCAGTCCCAGTTTATTCACCTTCTCCCCGCGTCCAGCACAGGGAATGGGGGTTACGATCAGTTCATCCGACGATGGTTCCACCGCTTCCTCACTCCGGAGGAGGACTCTTCACTCTTCCCCAGGGCCATTGTGGGGTCCCTCTCACGGGAGACAAGCTTCACGCTCTCTTCTCCGGCGTGAGTCATCCCACGAAGGGCAATTCATCACGAACTGCCCAAGGGGAGAC